CATATTTTATCTTATTTTTTTGTCAATTGTGGATTGAATGACGGTGTTAGGTATTTCTTATTTGTCTGTCAATATGTGTCGGAAAATATATGGTAAAAATACAAATAAAGAAATTTCATTGAATTTTCATCAATTTTATTCTAAAATATTCAACAAACAAACAAACAAACAACAGAGATATTTGACAGTTAACAAAAGCCATAATAAACTACTGTGAATTTGCACCCCATCCATTTTAACCAGGGAACAAAATATCTACTATATGGTCAATGGAACTAACAACTTTTCTGTGGCACATAACTCATATACATTTGTGTACATAACTAACTAATAAACTAACGGAACAAACAACGCACTACAATGAGGATATGTCGCTATGGCAAGCATGGCGATGCTGGGATGTCGTTATATTTATGCAATGGAGGATGTGGCAATGCCATGTATGTACTGCAGTGATGAGCTGTCTAAATGTTTTAATGATTTTTTTTACAATGAAGATATGTCGCTATGACATGCATGGCAATGCTAGGCTTTCATAATATTTATACAATGGAGGATGTGGCAATGCCATGTATGTACTGCAGTGATGAGCTGTCTAAATGTTTTAATGATTTTTTTTACAATGAAGATATGTCGCTATGACATGCATGGCAATGCTAGGCTTTCATAATATTTATACAATGGAGGATGTGGCAATGCCATGTATGTACTGCAGTGATGAGCTGTCTAAATGTTTTAATGATTTTTTTTACAATGAAGATATGTCGCTATGACATGCATGGCAATGCTAGGCTTTCATAATATTTATACAATGGAGGATGTGGCAATGCCATGTATGTACTGCAGTGATGAGCTGTCTAAATGTTTTAATGATTTTTTTTACAATGAAGATATGTCGCTATGACATGCATGGCAATGCTAGGCTTTCATAATATTTATACAATGGATGATGTGTCAATGCCATGTATGTACTGCAATGATGAAGTGTCAAAATGTTTTTACAATGAAGGGCATCGCTATCGCCTGTACGTACAGCAATAATGCGATGTCATAATGATTTTCAGTGAAAGGTAGGTCGCTGTTCCATGTATGTGCTGCAATGTTGGGTTATCACAATGATGGGTGTCACTAAGCTATTTTTGAACTGCAATAGAATAATGTATGTTTGCTTTTGATTTGTGCATTAAATAATTCGAGTTGCGGAACTGTTTATTTGCACTTTAAAGATATGGCGTTGGAATGTTTTTGCAATGTAATGATTGCGTATCTCTATGCTTGTTTAATATATAAACTAGGTTTCAACAAGTTGATTTTTATTGTAGTAATTTGGTGTCAATATGCTGTGTTTAACTACAAAGATGTGAATATATTGACTGTAGTTGTGTGTCACTTTTTAAATACAAGGAGTTAACATTACGGTGCTGTACTAACACTGCAATTATGGGGTGTTGTCATGTACGCTGTTGTGTACGGCAATGGCATTGGCAGCGCTTTGACGAGCTCGCACTGTACAAATGGGATCTCGCATTGGCACCGATAATGATGTTGCATTGAAAATGGTCGGAAATCACTATGCATTTTACTGCTATTGTTAAAACAATGAACTGTTTAGTAATTGTCAATTATGGATGTTTGTTGAGGTGCATATCTAGTTAGTTGAACCCTTTAATGTCCGGATAACCATATATTGACCGAAACAAAAGTCCTTAATCTTTATATAAGATATCAAAATTATAAGTAGAAAAGTAGTTGCATTTGAAAAAGAGTATTGTTACGGTTCAATGGAAGTGATGTCATAAGACAATATTGACCTGCTGTTTCTGAAAATAGTAACACTGAGTCAATATCACAAATCACCGACGTTCATGTGATAACGATCTAACCAATGAGAATGTCGGAAAACAAATTAGGTGTAATGTAATTTTGGTGATTGAGTACAATTACAATATATATGGGTGTTTTTTTTTTGTTTGTTTTAAGATTATGCCACCAATCCCATGATACCATACTGAAAACGATCGACCATGTATGTTAATGTTTAACTGTGGCTTTTGCAAAAGAAAGAAAGAGAGCCCCATTGATTATTAGGTATCACAATGTTCATTTTTTACCGTAACAATTTACAGTATTGTTTCCCCCTGCAATGATGAAATGAAATTATCAAAGTCATGTGATACCACTATGCTTTTTTATACTTCGCTGATGTACGCCTCAAATGACAACACGGATATTTACAATGTTGCTTTGTTGCTGCCATGATTGATGTCGTTATACTGGTGCTATGCTGATAGCGTGTAGGATTGTGGCTTAAGAGACTTTCGTGTTGTCGATAACAAATGTAATAACAATAAGTTTAATTTGTGTAACTATATTTCCATTCATATACACGAAGAACTATCTAGACAAGATTTGAGTCTTCATCGAATAATATCGTCTGGTCAAGCTTTTTAAAAACAATTATTATGGTGACCTATAGTCGCAGCAACCTATTCTTGTGGTTATTTAGCTTATAAAAATAATTGTTGATTATTCATTGATGTGATTTTAAAGATACATAGACAACTATTTGTAGAAACGTAGCTTTATACAGAACATGATTGCTTAGGACTTGAAATATCGACAAAATACAAAGGACTATCTATTAGCACCTTCTTAGCGTATACAATTGCCTTACTCTGGATAGTCGGAAATAAAGAGTAATCATTTATCAAGGTTACCGTTTTATGGACGAAGAACGAAGTGGCATGTCTGATATTTATATATGAACTCTGTACAATAATCTTTAGAAATCCAAAAGCACCTATTTTGAAATTTATTTTGTCGATGTAGAAGGCCGAAGACAGTAAATTTTACAACACCATGCGGCAGTTTCGTTCATGTAGGACTCATCAGTTGTTCAAAAATCCAAAAAGAATCAAAATTTTAAATTTGGTCGAATATATCAAGGACAAGTGGATAAACACATTACTGTTGGTTGTGAAAGGAAACTACCAAATCTTCTATCTTTCTGTTCAACTAGTTTTCTACTCGCTTGAACTGAAGTATCAAAATTACATAAACTTGTTTTTTTAATATTTCCTCGTGTGTATACATTTGTATTATACTTTTAGATAGAATAAAGATGATATGGCTATGCTACATACACATTTCAGTGTTGTAATTTTGCGTTGGTTTTATTGGATAGATCACAAAGTTATGTTATTTTATTGACATTGCAATTAATTCTTATTTACAAAATCTTTTGAAAATATTCTATGACAAACTTATGAAAAACAGCTCGGGACTAATCCTAAATGACATTCATGAAAATATGATCAAATGTAAATTGAATGCATTAAACCCATAATGCCCTATTATATGAATACGCATACGATATTCAAATGAATGTGACAAATGAAAATAAAATATCATCAATATTAAAGGATTGCATTTTGGTACTGCTATCTTCATGAATATTTTATCACTGGACCGCATTTATACGCATCACAACCAGTAGCATAATATATATTTTCAGAGGTCGTAATAAGACCGCTTATATCCACGGGTTGTAACTAAGAATAACTAAGTAGAATATGAACCGTACCCCCACCCCAACCACCCCCATGATGACAATACCAAATTCCTGTTCACCTTATGGAAAATGTTGAAAATTGGATGTGAAATAATTTCAGAGCTAAATGTTTTCTTAAATTTAAAAGTCACTCTTGTTATTTAATGTGCTCTAAGGCGGGAAATAATTTAATTAGAATTGACGAAATGTGAATCGTTGATATATATCTTTTAAACATTCAATTGCTCATCAAGACCAAAATCAATAAAAGATATATTCATGAAAACGTTTGGTCTATTTTCTCTCTCATAAAATCGAGTGCAAATATGACAATCTTTGTTAGAAGTTAGAAAAAAGGCATAGATTCATAAACATTTTGTGATGTCACATAATAATAAAATTTTCGGTGCAACCTATACATAAATACATAACATTGTTTTGTATTCTGGGTCTTAAAGGAATGTACTTTATATCTAAACAATGAAAAGATGTATAGGATGGCTAATTCGTGATGCAAGAATTTAGAAAATAAGTAAATTTAATGACACGATTTGTAACGATAAATGTTACATAACAGTTAACAGTATTGCTTTCTCGATGTAATATTGGAAATTTGATTTGTAATATTATTTAAAGTTAATTTCACTGGACACATAATATCAATATCATCGAAAAATATATACAGAGTTATTTTAATAGAACTATGTACAAATATACATACTAACAGGGTGAAATGAAGAATAGTTAGAACACAAACCAGTGTTATACACGTACAAAGGGGAAAATTCAAAACTTGGATTGGTTTTTTTTTAGTTTCTGATATCTTGTTAAAGGCGATGGCCTTTGATTGAAAACAAAACTAAATAAATCTTTTAAGATGTTTGTGTATTTCAGAAGCCAAAGATGATAAAATGAATTTTATATAGGGTTAAGTTATCCACAAATGACACGACTATCACGCACAAAAGACGCCAATCTCTTTACATATTTAGAAATATTGATTGTAAAGTAAACATAAAGGAACTATAGGTCGTTGAATACGACATGAAAGTAGGGGAAGTAACTCCACCTTAAAATAAATCCAGTTTTGTATCATATTATAAAAGCTCGTTTATGCATTTATGCAATACATTTTCGTTATGCATAACAGTCCTAATCGACTAAGAAGAATGATAGATGGATGTGTACCTATCAGAGGCAGCTTTCTTCTAAGCAACTCCAGACAGAAAGCATGAAGATTAAGATGTGTATATTACTGTTTTAGGAAAGAACAAGGATCGGATGTGCATAGGAGGAATTTTAAGTACTAAACTAACAGTTTGGTTACCGAGATAATAGTAGATCAAACGTCTGCAATATATTCCTTCTAACAGGACCGAAATACAACAAATATAATTTCTTACTTACATATATATATATCACCATATCAACGTTTAACTCATTCACTCCTGGAGAAACATTTGAACTCTTTCAATTCAAAGTATGGATTAGTTCATTATGAAATTGAAGGGGTGAATGAGTTAATATGTAGCATCTGAGTCAAACACGAGACTAGCAGTGAATATTTACTTTTCCTAAACATTTTACTTGTCACTAACAGGAACTGTAGATGAGCAGATTAATAGTTCTTGCTTTGTCATATTAAAAAAATTCATGGTTTCAATAAGCATTTTCATTTTTGACAACCAGTCTCATATATTTCTTCCATGCTATGATTGAAAATAATCAGATCCATAGCTTTCCTTTCTGTTATGATATCAACTTTAATTTCTGTCTTACTTAATCAGACCATGCATTTGCAGGAACAACGCTCGTGTTATTTTTTTTTATGAAATAGTCGCCGTGTAAGATTCGGAATCCTTCTCTTTGCTGAGTTTGACAACAAGCTTTTCAGTCCTCGGTTTAACACTATGACCATTGCATACACCAGAGCACGACTTTTCCGATTCTTTGCTACCTTTATCATCAGCTTTGGAATGAGACTTCTGTGTTGGACACGTGACCTTTTCAGGTCGTTCGGACTCACAACCGTTATGTTGAGTGCCTTTGTCCTGGACACTGCACTGTTTCGCAGGAGACATAGGGTTGGTCTGCATCCCCACGTCTGCAGAACTTCCGTTTGAACAGGAAATACTGTCATGCGTCTGCGTACACGTATGTGTTTGTTCCACATTGAACGTGAGACCCAGGGCATCACTACAACACTGCATATCCGTTTGAACAGAAACACTTGAATCATGCGATTCCGTTTCTGTTGAAGCGTTAGAGAATCTCCTAGTGTCGATTGTCTTTTTCTCTACGGAATGATCCACAACATCAGACTCATTGTCTGTCTCAGCTATAATTCTGTTCACTGTCTCGTCTAGTTTATCGATAACCACCTCCTCCTCGTCCTTAAATAAAGACTCCACCACTTCCGGACATTCGCCACTACCGGAAGTACGGTCATTCGTATTGCTAACGGAAGTTAATGTTGCGTCGTTAGAACACACGTAATATGGCGCAGGATTTTCATTCGGAACACGTTCTTTATTTTCATCACACGTGGTTTCTGTGTCACTAACTGTATTAATGCCGTCTTGTTCACAGACATCCGGCTCGTCTATTGTATTATTTTCCTCCGTAGAAGTATCCGTGGAGGTCTCCGGGGGTTTCAACTCTTCCATCTTATTCACGTCACAGTCAAGTCCCTGTCCACTGTCGTTAAGCATGCTTGTGTCCGTGCTGGGACTAGATTCGAAACTCTGGTTGCCGTCTTCTATACCGGAGTCATCATTATTACAACGAACGTTATCAATGGATTTTGTTCTCTTAAATCTCTTGGCTGGATTTTCATAGATCGCGTAGCTCAGTTTTAAGACATCTTGCTGCAGAAAAAGATTCACACAGGGTTACTCAATCATAGTTATTACTATTGTATTCAATCAAATATATTTGAGGTTATATCGAATCGGCAATACTATGCAATTTATAAGGGAGAATTGCAATCAAAGACGATGAAAGAAGATAAGTGCGATCGCTTGACAGATTCAATTTATCATTTATACTCAAAGAAGAAGATTATTGATTTCTGATACAACTCAGTGCGGTTTAAGGTATAGCGCAATACCAATTTTGCCACAAATGCCGACAGCTTTAGACGAAGACGGTGATTAATTCAGCAAAGATAAGACATAAAGAATGGTCGAGCAGGAATATAGTTTTGTATGAATATACATTTATGCGTGCTTAGTGCGACAATAAATCAGAACGACAGATATATGATGGCGTCTCAAGTTAAATAGATCTATCAAATTTATCAGTGCTTGTCCATGTTAATTATGTCATCAACAGACAATAGTTTTACACAATTAATACACAATTAAGACAATAAAAAGTAAACATATTTTAGTCATGCAGAGATAAAGCAGTCAACTGCTTTCAGTCTTGTTATGTTCTGTTATGGAACATTTTTATTCTCGTCTAGTTTTGCCTTTGGATTCACATTATCTTAAACTGATATGTTTGCTTATACTTAAAGATATGTAGACTTCAAACAACGTATTGTGTCTCGAAAAAATAATGTGAGCTCACCTTTTCTGAGGTCTTTAAAATCAGATCTATATCAGTCTTTACCCGAGGCCTATATGGATTGCTTTATTTGATACGCAACAAAACTATGTATATCGTAGAGTGTTACGGTCAAAAAACCCTTTATTGGATAGGCTTTGTCATATAACATTTATAGACAGTGTCATTTTCCAGAATTTTCTAAAGTAAAGATAATCATTATACCTAACCGTGGTATTTTATTGGATTGATACACGTCTAATATTCGATTACGATATTTTCTGATATATAGTGTTACAATAAGTTCACCTAATAACTGTCCTTGGTGCTTACCTGTTTGGGAAATGTATTTAGATTACAAAACTATCATAAACACTGTTATAAACAATGCCGGTTTAAGTTTTTGTGAAGAGATCGTCGCCCAAACAAGAGAAAGTATAGGAGATGCGTATAAAAGATAGGGCGGTTATAAGGTTGATAACGGATCTTCACCATTTACAGATTCATGGTACTGCGAAAATCTCAAAGAGAATACTACCGTATACAGGACCGTGTATGCAGTATAACAGTGTACATAGCATAACGTCAAAGTTACCATCTTTCTAAGAAGTTTAAGTACTGCAATACCCTTTGATGTATGCAATCCAGTGTAGCTTTTCTTTAATTTATATGCCTTCGTAGTTATTCTTTTGATTAATAATATATCGTAGTGCTTCTTTAATCCACGTAGTGTCATATAGTTTCTTTTGATTTATCCACTGCTTAGCCTATATAATATTATATAGTGTTTCCTTGGACATGGATGTCACTATGTTATTGTGTTTTATACAATCAAATCGTAGTATATTCTCGAAACCAAAATTGACCTTATTCAACATTTTAACTAAATCATCAGTATTACTGATTTTTTTATTATTCCACAAATACATGTCGAATGCACTTAAGCTAGTAATTCTCGTACTTAGTTTATATTGATACATAATTCTGAATAGCGACTCTGGAAAAGTAACTTTAGAATCCATGGAGGATGGTTTAACTGAATTGGAATAACTTGTGCCATTTCCTTGTTGTTGTTTGACAAATAAAATATATCTTAATCAATCAAAGACTTTTTTTGTTTAGTTTTGTTTGGAATAAATAACCAAATAAGCATATTTGTGTGAAAGGCACACGAATGAAAGCTGAACAAAATGATGAATGTTTTGGGAAGGAAGAAAAGAAGGAAAGAAGAAAAAACATTTGGGTATTAATTTCAAATTTCCGGGGTTCTTACTCCAATCGCCACATATACAAGATGATGTTTGCTATAAAAGGAATCGCAAGAGGTGTAGTATTTTATATTATCTGTCAGCGGTTGATTTGATCATGAAATACAAAGGATAAGGCAAGTAGTAACTTGAAATGTATTCCCTTTCGTTTTGGTTTCTGTATATATTTAGTTGCCAAATTATACAAATAAGTATTTTAGTGTTCCTTTTTATGATGCCTTACCCCGTTCCACGTTGAAATGTACGCTACATCCACCAAGCTGTAACTTTCGAGTAAAACCTCGTCTTCGTGATAAAGGTCAATCTGCAAATGAAAAGAGTTTATAGTGTTTAACCTATTGATATCGGATTTGTCATAATTGTGTTCATATGAACAAGGTATTTAGCATTTCATTGTTTAAGGCAGGCGGTCCCAGCGCTCAGTGTTGTATCTAAAATGAATATGACTTCCTATTTGTTCGTCATTATTTGGCATGGATTTCCTTTCATAGCTACAGTAGCTTACATTTATATACGAATAATTTATATATTTACTATAGTTTTCCTTTTTAACAAAACAGTTAACCGACAAGAAGATGCTATCCCTGGACCTGTTGTTTAAGAAGCAGGGATCTTATTTAATGCGTTATAGCTCATTATATTTGATATGTTAATACTACTCAACATTACTGTCAATACTAATTTTTCACTCACTTAAACGGTTAAATCTATAACTGTCTTTATATGAAAATAGAGTAAATATCATAGAAACTGTTTTTCCTGTCCCTGTAAATGTACAAATGGCTGAGACTCATTGTTTTAGATTTATAATGAAAAAATCCTTTGGCAATCAACTACGAACACACCCTGTTACACATCATTAATACAACATTACACCGTTGTTATGCATTTATATAACTACGTCAGTACTTAGCGGTTCGAAACTTTCTGCACAATAACTTACAAGATAGGTATCCGACAAGGAGAACTTCATTCTCAGAAATTTCTTGAGATTACTTATGGTCACTGCAGCCGGACACAACAAGTATCGATTGTCAACGGTCTGCAAAATGGAACAAACAAAACGTATGTTATTTCAGAGCACCTAACGCGTGATGAAAGCTGAAGATTTAAGTTTAATACAGTGCAACAACACTCAAGTATAATCGGCAATCTTCAGGGAGCAGATTTTATTCGAAAACAAAGTAATGAGGTTGACTTTGCACAGAAATCAACCAGCAAGAGCTCAGTAACCAATCATACAAAACGGTAAGCCACTTGTGTACCTCTAACCGATTTTTGGAAGAGTTTGTACGCATAATAAGACGTCACAACGCGAATTAAGACGTTCTTCTACGTGGGACTGTTTTACCTGTGATAAAACATGGAGTGATGAAAGAAGAATGTAAGAAATACACATTTTATGGCACTTATACAATTTGGTAATATATACATGTACAGTATGTAAAACAATGAATAACACTGTATCATACAGCCAGTAGGTCCTTTTAAGTCTCATCGGTAATGCTAGAGGCAGAAAATAGATGGAAATCCAAATTGGTCTTAACTACTATTGAAACAAAAAGGCAAGAGCATGAAATCCTTCATTTTACGAATTTCAATTATTAAAGGAATACTCACATATTTTAAAGTGATAATTGATAGATTGTGAATAAGTGAACATTGAATTGTGTTTGGATGCAACTGTACAAGTTTAATTGCAATGAACTATATTGGTGCTGAAACACTACCAAAACGAACTTTTTGTTTTCATTACAATACATGAATAGAAATAGCAACAAACATCATAAATTGTCTCCATATTGAATCAAAGCCATGCATGATTATGAGTGTGTCCAGTCAATAAAAAGAACAGACCTTATCCGATTTCAGGAAGAAATCACCAATATTACATTTATGAGTTAGCAATGTAAGTTGCATCCGGATATCATCCGAGTCAAAGCTCATAATAATTGATCCAAAGAAGTATGGACGTAATTATAATTGATGATTGGTAGCGTTTTCCCAGTACAACGGAAATGAAAATACTACAATATCTATCCATATATATTGATAAAGAACCAGGAGAAATATAATTAAAGCACCACAAATCAATTTACTATTTTGTTAACTAGTTGGTTTGAATACATTTTTTTGGGTGGTAGTGTGGCGCAGTAGATAGCGCACTTGCTTTTAACCAAGGCTGCCGGGGTTCGATTTCCCACAGTAAGACCCCGCGCGCCCTATCATCTGGGCCAACAAGAGCGATTAGTACAGGTTGTAAAAACATGTTTCATAATTGTTGTAAAATAAATATATATATACATTTATTTTTTATCTCCGGGATTTGAACATCAAATATTATTCGTTATATTAAGTAATTAACTCACTGTTGTTTTACTATGAAAACTGCTGATGCTATTTACATATTAGTTTCTGCAATCCATAAATATAAACATAAAGTTTCGTATCCCCTTAGAGAAAGGGAAAACTACTTGGTACGTTCTGAATGGTCTAGCTTATGATTTTGTTATAAGAAATGCATGTTTGTGAATTTAAGAATTTAACGAAACAACTTACCCGATGTTCTACCTCAATGTCATCACATGATGCTAGACTGTAAAAAAATAAAAAAATAAACAAGCAAAGAATGTAAGAATAAATATGGACGCACGTGTCATACAAATGTTGGAACCCTAAACTGCTTATCACACAATAGACGAAATTTGTTCATTATAGGATCACCGACTAAATTTTCTTTAAGGTAAAGTGTACAAACGAGTTAAACTAAATTGCTGAGTATGTCACTACCGTGAAATATTCCATCAAGTCCTTTTCAAAAGAAATATTCCATAAAAATCAATTGTTGCTATGCATTTTATTTTACAGAAATGTAGTTGTTTGAAACTTTAATGATTGAAAATGAAAACAAATATAAATAAAACCTACAGGGGTCGAACTCGGAACCTTTACGTTGCTAAGCATCCCCTTTATTGGTTTCATAGAGGACGTATACATGCACATCATCAAAACAGATACGGACCGCAAATCATATGAAACACTTGACAGGAGAAGTTACTATAGTACAGAAAACTCTTTTTGGGTTGCTTCATTTTCTTTATAGAAGGGAGAGTACTCCTAGTCGAAAATCTCTGAGTGGAACTCTTCTTCGCGAGTATAACTGGTGCGGTGGTACTCTTTACCTTAACATGCATTTGATATATTTTGAAGATACATGTTTTAAATTGTTGTCGATATATATCTTATATCAAAGCTTGATGATAAATAAGTGCTTCACATCAACTTTGCGAATATTCGTATATGCTTGATACCGATTCTTCACAAATTATGGCCATAAGTTTTCTATATCATACTACATAAATTCACCTGTACCTGAAATAAATCTTACATATATCTAAATATGGTAGTTTTTTTTATCCGAGGAGAACCAGACTTACTTTGTTGTAAATTCAAGTGAAAGACTGATGTTTTCTCCGGGGGATATGATTATCCGTTTGCCGATCTCAGCCGATCGTTGACCTGTAGGTAAGTGGAAAAAAAATCAATAAAACGCATGATTTCGTTAATCGGAACAATACTAACAAGTAAGTCTACAAGATATATGAGATTTTAAAGTATTGTTTACCTCACTTTAATGTTCCTGTGTGTGCTTTTGGGGTTTTCGACGCTTGCAAAAACAAATTCTTCCTAAATTAGTCAGTGAAGTACCTTATCTAGATGAATCACATCTTTCGAATACATCGTTTGCCGTTGGAACGTTTAGGCGAGTGTAATCAATTGATAAGAAAGATTGCATTGTTACAAGAGTAAAAATGACGTTCCAAAGTATCAATCGTATTATTCAGTATCTAATCCCCCACTAATGTACAAGTCAAGCCATTCACCGTCCGTGCCTCGTCTGTCTTTGTATCTAATCTGTCCGGTCAAGTATAATGTCACCTTTATTTGTCTATTTAATTCTATGACTGAATGTGTTCTGAAATATTCAGGGTTGCCTCACTGTCTGGGTTGTTTTACTTGGTTGGGTGATTTTTTTTTTATATTTCAACGATGTGATCTACATTCTAGAATATCATATTTTGAAATAAATGATTGTGGTCGAAGTTTTACAATTATTATTAATTTTGGAAACAATTCAATATATTTGGGACGATTACGCGAAAATTGATTGATATTACAATGAATCACGTATCATAATAAAAATAAATATTGTACGCATCATGTGTATTAGCAAGGTTGTTTGATTAATTTTAAAAACAACAAAAGAACATTTCCTATTATAATGAAAATATAAAAAGAAACACCAAATCCAGAGAAGCTTAACATCCGGTAGCAATAACCAATTAGCTTTCTGATGTCAGCATTTCAAATACCCCGTGCACCATGACTACGAACAGATATCGGAAACTGATGCTTCAAATTGAGGTCAGGAGATGCACGTGCTATTAACATTTGCTATTAGTGGAAAATGATCGGGTAATAAAGGCCGCAATCATGGGGATGAGATAAAATACAAGGATTTATGGTATTACGGAGCTAAAGAGGATTAACAGATACAACAAAAGAGCTCCAAAGTCACTCAATCGTGTGTTACAGTAATGGGCACTATTTGACAATGCCCGAAGTGCAGATAAGAGATTAATTACCATAATGCTATGAAAATAGTTTTGTTAATTTTTCTTAAATGTAGGAGAAACTATTTGAATATTTTCCACTAATTGTGATTCTAGAACAAAATCTATTTTCAGCTTCAATTTTTGTTTTTTTGAAGATATCAAAAATTTAAGTGTTACATAATTTTGTCGTTACACTAATGGAGTTTTCTGTAACTTGCTAATGACCGAGGTTTGCACAACATTCTTGACATTAATTGGTTAGTCACACAAACCAGTTCTAAGTTATCATCAAACGCACGTGATCATTAGCGGTAATTAGCATATCTGTGGACGGATTTATCTGTTTTTAGAAGACACGTCTTGTCAGTTTCCAACAATACTCAAATGAATATACATAGGTATGATACAAATTAATTCATTTGTAATTTTGTAGATATTCGAAAGTGATATTCAACGGGGCTGATGAGCTTGAATTTAGAGGAACATGGGTATGATTCAAATTAATTCATTTAAAGTGGACTTGGCCAGTCATTGATTTGGTAAGGTTTAAGTGTGAGTTAAGGGTTAAATGAGAAAGGATTATTGTACATTTTGAACTAATGTTTGATAATGAGTAAATAATATTCCGTTTTGATAAACTTCAAAATAATGCTTGCACGAACCCTCTTTCTGTGTCAAGATCGCCGTTTAGATTATTCTTACACCATTTATTATGTATGAAAACAATGTCAAAATGTAATTCATTGTTTGGAACTGAAGAAAGGAAATACCAGGATAAAATGCGTTTTAAACAATATCATTGAAATATATCCCGTATTTCATAGATGGAAGATCAAACCCGACAAGACTGTGTCAATTATTGCAATATAATCTTACCAACATTAGTGTCGCGGCACATTTGAGGTAAACATCAATCCGAAGGTATTAAAACAAAAATAGCATATATGTAAAAGACAATACTATATACAAAGTGATATATATTGCCTCATTATTTATAACAAGGCAACACATTTTTTTTTGGGTCACGTTGTACTTGAAATACTGTCTGTTTACCTAATATTTCTGTATCCTGCTCCTGATTTTTATAACACGCTCGTCTTCTATTCATCTCGTCTGAAAAAAAAAAATGATTTCAATGAATTCTGCCATTTTTCAGAACAGACAGGTTTCAGAATGCACCGGTCCAATTTGTATAGAATTTTGTTCAAGGGAGCAATGTTCACACATGTATCCATGTCTTTTTGGAACAGATTACACATCCTACGTTACATTAGGTGGAAACTATAAACATTCTGTATATCTATGTCTGTCTTTTACAGAATCATGTTTTTTTTAAAGAAAAATGTTCATGAAATTGCAATTTTCAAGTTCTGGAAAACATTGCCGAACTGTTCCCTGCACAATTTAATAATAGTATGCAAGGAACAGTTAAAGAACCTGGTGGTATGAATTGAACCAGACTTAGATGAAAACATTTTAATATGGAAAGATGTATTAAAAACATCTTTGGGATTTGAAACTTTACATTCAACGTTGAAGTCCAAAGTTATTGTGAAATTATCTTCAGTTTTCATTTTGTTTTAAGATATACACCGTGCTTTAAAAATCAAATAACCACAGAAAAAGAATATTTAAAGGTGAAAAATGTAACAGCGTCAATCGCTGAACCATCTTTTTCAATCATGCATGAAGTCACAGTGGTGAAAAACGCAGTGCGGTTCTCTTTAAAGTTAAAACACTATTCCATCCCTCCCGCTTTGAACATTGGACATTGATGACAAGAACGTTCAAGATTTATCTGAAGATAAAAAATGCACATATGAAAAATATAAGAGACAATTAAAGACAATAACTTATCAGTAATTAATCATCGATGATGAAGTTCATCATGTTGCTTACTTAATTCAGACAGATTATATTAAGGCTAACCTGAATATTACTACCGGTGTGAACGTATAAATTGGAAAATAACATCATCTTTATCACCATTTAGACATAGTCTACATTTCATGAACTTGCCTGGAATTATTATACATTTATTTAACTAAGAAATAACATTAAAATATGTCAATGTGTCTTTTGCTCACAATGTTGTAATGCGTTTCTAAGTGCTGTTTTACGCTGTAATATATATATGCTGTTGTTTGTTGTCCTTAATCATCTTGCAATCCTACCGTATTGTAAATATGTAATAGTACAAAGGCATTATTGTCTGTTGATAATATAATTATCATTTAATGTTTTCATTCGCCATTGTATCACTTAATCATTATCCTAATTATCTAATTCTGTATATATTGTTAAAATAAAACGGCTAATGTTAACAAACAGCCTATTAAAATGCATGTAATATGGAACACTGGATGATCGGTTATTCAATTAGTATTCGCGAACGCTTTCATTATTCTTCCAAAGACAAGTTTGCGTGGATTTGAATCTGTCGTTTGTTATTTGCTGAATTTTGCCTGATAAAATATTCGCGAGACATTTTAATTCGTGATCGCCTGGAACTAGCACGAAATGCAAATCCATGCTAAATAAAGGTTATTTTAAGCAAGAGTACAACCTGTGGTTTCCAAAACATAACTTTATAAAAACACGCATATGGTAATAAAATGATTTAGTACGTTGAAGAGGAGGATTTTAGCACAAAAATAAGATATTGAAATACACAAAAGATGCTTTGTTCAACTCTAGATTATATATTCCTTGTTCTTAGTATACACATTTATACAATTCGATAACTCAAGACATTTGAGGAGATTCGTTTCCTCCGTGATATATATATAGAAGCATTTAATGTCTATGCACCTATCTGACATGACCAATTACGTCTTGAATGATATCCTTATACCAAAGACACATGTTAATACCTAACTCTTAGACATTTGCTTTGACAATGAGTGTCATGGGCGTTTGGAGAGCATACACTTATTTCTTAATGAGCGATTGTGTTGATAAAGCGCACCTGTGCGTGCAGGCCGATGTGTCACGTGATAACTGGAACGTATTAAGCATACGCTACCTCATTAAGACCCTATATTTATATCATTCGGACAGATACAGGTGAATAATCAAGGAATATATCTACAGCAGTTAAATTGCGTAAGCTTAACCATCACTGCTCACGTTGCGTTGTAACAAATTGCTGATCTGTCGTTTTAGATGAAGAATGCCATGAACTTAATCAATATTGAAGCTTGAGAGATTTTTAACTTTTTGAATTACTAAAAATACAATTACTAATTCAATTAAGCATCTAATTTTAGTGACGTAACAGGAAATTACATAGGGTAATCAGAGAGAAATTGCGAACGTCACATACTTTCAAATGTGGTGTATTGTTTGGATTTTAACGATATTTGCTACAGAAAATCTGCCGATATACGTCAGCCAAACTTGAAAAAAGAAGAAAGAAATCGAAACTATCCTTAGATATACGTCATGACCCCTGGTAATGTAGAGCATATATATCGTAAATGCACTTTCAGATGAAAGATAATTAGTATAACGGTATCATTTAACATAGAATCTAAAATGAAACATCATCGGCATGACTGTGAAGTCACTTTAAAAGTTGGATACATTGTGTGAAAGAAAACATACGCATAAAGCTTTCAAATTAAAATTATAATTGATTTTAAAGTTGAACGATTTTATATTATTGCAGTCAATTTTCAAGCTTCTAGGATGTCGAAGATTAATTAATCGTCGTGACTTTGGTGGGAAAACACATAAATGATTATCAACACATATGCCTAGACACGGCTTAGTGACAACCTGTTTGATCCCGGGTGTATCATGTTACATGCTGGTTTTCGTTCTGTTTACATGTTAAACTTTGATGTTGCTTGAAATTCACATTAATTTCGACGGCTTTAGGAAGTTAATTGGATCTTGTCCGTGACACCTACAATGTCAATAAACTTTGACGGTCAGGTGGTTGGACACATAGGCATGTGGGGACTCGGGTAACATTCACACAGGTGATTTACAGGTAATTTATATGACGGTGTGTTTACCTCAAATAACGGGAACATTCCTATACAATTTTACATACTATCTACAATTTAAACAGAAATTGAAATATATATAAATGCTTACTTCCTTCCAATTAAACATGTAATGTCGTTTTGTATGGTCAAGGCTGAAGCCGTTGCCATCAGTATCAGCTAAAACCTTAAACTATGAATCTGTGAAAAGTGTAATATTCATTTAAACGGACAGATTTAAAGCATGTGCCTGTTCTATGGTCTAAAAGGTTCACCCCAAATACTTAACATATACGTATTTTTTTTAAAAATATCGTAAATATAATTATACGTCAAAGATGTTCGCTTTGCGCACTTAAAGTAGACCTGAGACTGAATATATCTCATCGAGATAGAACCTAAGGGAAATTTTCCCTAAATGGATCTGGTTTGCTCACCAGTGTGGACCTTCTCCTGAGAACTAGTCATCGATTCTTCAAGATCACAGCTAAGCTTGTGCACGTAGGACTAAGGGGAATATCGCACAAAGTACCTAGATACGAGTTTGGCGCTAAAGGAACTGATATCACTATTTAAAAGTATTTCCGCCAGGAAATCAAATTCAAAAGTATATATCACTAGCCCAGATGTCTACTGATTGAGCTAAGGGGGATCCCCTTAAGCTAAATAACAACAAGCGATTATATTGTTCACCACTGATAGATTCTCACAATTCAGGAAAAAGCTAGTCTTCGGGGTTTGCAATGTACAACGATGCTCTTGAGAGTACGTTGAATACCCCAAAGTTTTATAATGCCTCCATCTGGAGTCAAATCCTGGGACTAAAGATTAGCAGAACAGACAAAGTCCCGCTGATTTTGTAAAAGAGGAATCCCTCCGCACGAGGCAGTACGGAGTTGGAAGATATTTGACCAATGTGGCAGAGCTGTTGACGCTGAATACATCTCGATCCAGATGGATTGTCTGTATTGCGATTCCATGCAATATAGCATGTGATTTCCTGAAGACGGCGACACTGAGGGCATTACTTGATGTTACAGAGGTATACCTTAGCTATTAAATGACAATAGACGAACTGGCCTGGAAATCATGAAACAACCTAAAGTTTAAAATTGTTTCAACTTAACCAATCCAAAATAACATAAAAGGGACGTCATACATGATTGGCGAAGGAAAAACTAAGATGTTTCATGATCCTGGGGCCAGATGGTAGAAAACAGAAAGAATGATTCGCATTAGTCGCCTCCTATGTTAACAAGGGAATAGCCAGAGGTCGCGATGATGAGTTCGCATTAACAAAAATTAATACATAGTATGCGTGTCTGGATATTTACAACTAGATACAAACATAATTTAATATAAAGACCTATTGTTTCAATGTTTAGGTAATAGCTATTGTAATGCCTTTCTGCAAATGATAATGTTTCAGCGAAAACGAAAGGGTTTTTTTGGGTTTTCTTTTTTAGTTCTAATAAATGAAATCCATAGGATTATTAAAATATCATCTTGTATCTCATTCTGGAAGTTACACTCGTGATATTTTTAGGATCCCCGTACCTCAAATCAGCCAAAAACTGAAATTAGGCATTTGAAACCGTTCTTTTCCAGCAATGCAATTGCTTTGGTTAATATCTGCCTTAAAAAAAACAACTTTGCGGGACCATTTATAAAAGAATTATAATAAGTAATTAAAATATGATTAACAACATCAATCAATGGGTTAAAACTGAGATTGGAACCATGAACCTCAGATTGTTGCAATATCTCTCTAACCGAGTGAGCTTCCTGGTCAACGGGAGTGTCAATGCCCAACTGTGCTACAGTTATATCCAAAACGAAATTAAGGGGAGGTTACTATATAATACGAAAAATCACAGTGCAGTGGGACAGGGATCCTTAATAAGAAAAGTTATAAAATACAAACCTGTAAACAATCCGGGCACAGCTTTATATACAATGTTCTGTAGTAGGTGGTCTGACCTGGAATAAATAAAAGTGTGAAATAATTTATTTACTATTTACTATTTAATAATAGGAGGCACGGTAGTCTAGTTGTAGGACGCCGGGCTCGTGACCGAAAGGTTGCGGGTTCGAGTCACGTCACGGCACTGTGTTGTATCTTTGAGCAAGATACTTTACTCTCCTTGTTCCAGTCTATCCAGCTGTATATGAGTACATGATGGTGGACAGTGCTAGAATTGTTGAATGCTAGCTGTGAGCGCCAAAATGGCAGCACCGGCTGTTTGCTCCCCATAGAGTTGAGATATTGCCTGGTTGCAAAGGCCCTATAACCACAGATAATATTTTGTGACCTTTTTGAGACGACCTACGAACTAGGTTGTGATAAAGCGGTTTATAAGAACCTAGAATTATTATTATTATTACGTGTTCAAGACTATGAATGGGTATTACTCAAACAACATTGTCATTTAAATATAAGAAACATTACTTTACTCAAAGAGTAATTGATATTTGGAATAGTTCCCACAAGATGTTATTTCATCTCGTTAAGTATTTGACTCTGAGGAAAACTTTGGATGAATTTTGGAAAGATAACCAGTTGAAGAACGATCATAAAGCGTCTTATATATAGACTTATTCTATGTTTACAACAATGTATTTCACATTATATTGATGTGGATACAGAGGCAACAATACCTATTTAATAACATATACATTTGACCGGTTTTATCAACATAATTATATTATTTAACATCTTTTAAGAAATTTGATGTCTTTTCTTACACATTGCATTCATAAACATAACTTAAATACTAATGTAATCAATAATCATGAAAAGATCTGAAGATTTAGCTTTATATCGCAAGCTAGCCCATTCACCCCTAAAGTCACATTTGAACCTTACCAAAGCAAAGACTGGGCAAGTCCAGTTTAAACATGTAGGGTTGAATAAGTAAAAGGTCAGTTAAGAAATTTGCGAAGATCGAGCGAGTTCCCTTTTTCTACCTTTTATATACAAAGAGTGCCATTGAATTTCAAAAAGTAGTACATGAAATGGAAAGGAGCTCTGGACAGACATGAATTAATGGACATTATGCTCGTCCCAAAGGTACGGTAAAATCTGATGTAAACATACGGAAAGGCAATCAAAACAATATCCATTTATTCATCAAGTCCTCGTATTGTTCATTGAAGATTTGCAATGGTTAATATTACAACACGTGTTTCATATCAAAATGTCTTATATTCTTATGACAATGTAGAGAACAAAATCATTGACATGATAAATGGGAATATGAAGCTACTATGTTGAATGTTTATTCGTTATGAAATATGCATTTTTGTAAATGATTGATCATTCTAACACATTTGTGTGGTGGCGACAGACTTAACTTTTGCAGCAGTTGTAAATTATTGCTATTACATAAAATGCCAAATGTTTGGGAACTACGATAAGTGTAACTCACCTTAGTTCCGAGAACGGATTCTTCTTGTGTACAAGACCTGTACATACTGGACAATAGTGACTGGTTTGTAGATAGTGGACAATACACGTTTTACAAACTGCAACGAAATGAAATATAAACACACAATTACAACGAGCAAAGTAACCCTAATGCTGTAAGACATGTGTAAAAAGAAAACAAAGGGTACTTTATCAACGTTTGATACACATGACATTGGGTGAATTATCTTCGCCTCTATCGATGCGTGTGATTTATAACCATCGTCATTCATCAAACGATGTATCACAATGCTATTATTGTTATTTATTCTTCAATAGAAACACGAACTAATTACGTTTAAACCATATTTTATTCATGTTAATAAATATGTACAATTACATAGACATTTCATTCTGACGATTGGGAAACAATTACTATTTTACTTATACAAAGTCCTTCGTCTGTAACAAGCTTAGCTGATAGTACATCTTTAACTGTGCAGTGCTCGCCTTCATATGTACATAAGAAACTGTTATTAGAATACGATATTAGGGACAAAGAAAGTAAATGATGGAGTTTTTATCCGGTTGCATAATTAGTTAAGTTTATATGATAACTTAATGAAGTTGAATTATAATTGCTTGTAAATCTTCTGGTTGATTTGTCAAAGATTTGAGTAGCTCTAAAAATGTTTACATTTTGATCATACGTTTTTCACAAGTTAAAAGACAAACAAGAACACTTCATCGCAGCAGGAGGGTCCATATTCGTTGCTTCATACGTACAATCTATGGATTAGCAGGTTTGTTTTCTCCCCAAACATGCCGATATTGGAGCAGATGTAATGATAGGTATAAAATTGCAAATATAGAGATATGCTATGTAAATATGTAAGTATTCTCTCCCACCTCTGATTCTTGACATGTTATTATACAACACATATGCATATATATCGTATTAAAGACACATCATGTGCAATATACTTCAAACGTTAACTTGTATATACCATATTATATGAATCATATTACCTACATCATATTGCATACATTCGATCGCTTAAACGTATCTTCACGACATACGATTTCTGTGTAAATCCTCTAAATCGATGAATCAGTTTTAAATGTGCGTCAATTCACACAGGCTCTGGGCATCGTTGTTCTTCAGAAGAAGTTGTTTTAAATATTTAAAACTTTAAGTCCCTGCAATCTTGCATGTGACTCAGGGCCGTTTAATTGAAACAAACCTTATAATAGCTCATCTCATAGGATTTATTGCAATTGTTATTAAAGACCTATCAGTTATTGAGATGAAGTCTTTTGATGTTTTCGAAACACCATCTTTGATGACATATCTCGATTTGCTAACTTGGAGACATGCTGCATGCTATAAGGAGATGATTCAAATGAAGCTTTAGGAGTCTAAGCGCTTTTTGTGAAGATTGTTAATATAATAATGTTTTTTATTGGCTTTTTCAAAAACCCATTAATGATTTTAGAATAAAACAAAACACGAGTCTTCAACATATCAATTAAAAGAGGTTTTTGAAATCTTTTGAAGATAATCGTATGTAATGAACATGTTGTAATGTTGTCAAAATGTTCAATCCTTGCGTATCTACTTTTTCGTATAGATACTGATATGCATATATTAATACATTTTTATGGAATTCATAAAAAGTCTCAAAAGCAAAATATAAAGATTTCAATTTGAAGTTTCAAGCGAAATTTAAATTAAACGTTATAGCCCGCTCGCCTTGCATATTTTTTTTTTGTTTAAGTAATTGTAGGATTGTTGAGACGATACACATGTTTTGATTATATAATGAATGTTTTGCTGACAGCGCACACGTCAAACGTTGGCTTATGTAACACACCTGGCGCATATTTATAGATTCTAAAAATGATCGTTTATTTTAATAAAGATTACAATTTTTAACTTGATAATTATAATAACATTTTACATAACATTACAATAGTATGTGAAGACTTAATACATATACATACATTTATATTAAAATCCACTTTATATATCTATAAATGTACCGCCCATAATCTCTTTGTTTATATCTTTTACATTTATATATTTCGCTTTTGCATTTGCGCTATTTCTCATAAAAAAGCCTCCTTTGACAGATTTGGCGAGAGTTATAGCTTTAAAAACAATTATATACTATTCTCGTTATTTCGTGCAGAAAACAATCGAATATCCACGCGGAAGGATGATAGAGGGCCTACGGAACCATCCCTGTAAAGTACATATATAACAGCTTTGTCAGACACATCCCAAGCGCCACATAGAGTTTGCCTGATTTCTTTTCAGTTAAAATCTATTTTACATCTATTTTCTTGGCTAAGGTCCCAGTTGCCTAAGCGATGCACAAACGATTCATGTATATTTTCCAACTAAAATATATATAGTTATTGTCTTATTCAAAAACAACACATTTCGTTACATGTCTTTTATTTGTTGACGAGTCTGTGTGGTCTTGTATTATTATTTCGAATATCTTCAGTTGAATATTTTGGATTTTTTGCCAAGTTTGTTATTTTATATAATACATCTGCTCAAAATGTGTTCGCTTTGCTTCTTTATCTCTTAAATATATATTTTTTAAACTTACGCAAACTATACAATAATGTATAGCTTTATAGCTTCTCAAAGTATATTTCGCGGATGTTTCATTTCCGCTATGTTCCTGCGGCGCCCAACAATCGATATCTTCAGATACAGAGGTAGATAAAACTACAGTTTTTGAGGGAGAAAAAAAACTTTAATTTTTATCAATCTAATGAAAATTAAATATCGTTTATTCAGTGAAAGTTATAAATTGATATTGACCATGCTGAATGGCTTTTCCTGTATATTTCTTTCAAAGTCCCCAATTTTTTTTTTTTTTGTGTTTTTTTTGTGTTTTTTTTTTGTTCAGATACAACGGCTGTAACATCAATAGCTGTTTTGGTACATATTTGTTACATGGATTAATATATTAACATAGTTACACTTTTCATAACATTTTTGTTGACAAAAGGTGTCAAATTGTTGAAGTAACGATAAAACTGCTTCTTGTAGCCCATTCAAAGAGGATCACGAATTTGTTTTCAAGAATAACTTCATCAAAACATACCGTCAACTTTTACTCGAGATATCCCCAGGCTTTCTCATGCAGAGACATTTCGTCCTTTAAGGTTTTTAAGATAAAATAAAACATTTGAAAAGTTAAAAAATGGTTTAATTTTTTTTTCATGCTATTTCAGATTATATTTCGTTTCTTTGTTTTACCACAGCTCTATAACAATACCGAAAAATGTTCCAATTCAAATCGAATCGCTAAAATATAAACCCTAAGTCCGTAAGCTTAGTATATCAAAAGCACAGACTGTCCATTGACATTTGTAAACAAGTTTTTGAATTTGAAAACAATTTCAATGGTTCAAGATAACACATATATACGAAGACATATATTAATACATATTATGTGTGTCATTTCAAAGAACCGTGAAAATAAATATCGAGCAAAGCTGAATGTGAGCTATAAAAAAATCTTTAACAGAGACCGAGTCATCTTTTCTTCCATGAAAACAGTAAAAAGTCGCCAGAACGTTTTTTTTTATTAAATGTTTCCATAGAGACCACCGTGATTAAAGCCATATAAACTCCAATTAAAATGAGCATGTTCGGTCACTGAGTAAAACACAATGTCAATAGCTCATTCCCTTCTGGCTGGCCATAAAGCCATATAAACGCCAATTAGAATGAGCATGTTAGGTCACTGAGTGAAACACACAATATCAATAGCCAATTCTCTTCTGGCTGGCCATAAAATTGGAAATGTAGACCGATGGAGACATCATGGGTTATTTTATGACAAGTTGTTTTGTTATTATCAGCCTCAACTGGATGTACTTGTTTCAAGCTCAATAAGACTCAAAACACGTTAAGTTGATTTTCGAAATTACTTTTCTGAACAGCAATTTGCATAAATATTAGTGTTTGTATGTACAACATCCTAACTGTTCATTGCCCAACTTGGCACATTTCTATTTCACTTTCGGTGTTGATGATCACAAAATTAACATTTTTTCAAAATTCAGATTATTGTTTCAAAAGCTAACGATACTTAAGAAAACTGAATCCGAATCAGGAAAGCCTGATGGAGCCTTTTTAGCTTTCTTTCAGTTTAGATGATTATTATAGTTGCATTGTAACATTTATTTCAAATACATATATTACAAAGCTATACCTATAACTGAGTAGTACATAATTATCATCCATCAAGGTAAGTGGTTTTTGTACTTATGAATTACTTAAACTTACATAAAATATTGTTCGTAATTTACATAGACCGCAGCAATTTTCATAATATTAACTGTTTTGCAAATTGTCCATTTCACGCAATATGTCGTTAAGCTGACACAACGTGGTCAATTGTCTGCTTATCGTTCAAGTTAATACACCAGGAGCAACATCGATAGACAAGAGGAAAACCCTCTTTTTTCTCAGGAATTTAAACTTATTACAGCTGGTATATTAATACTAAGTAAAATAAGGGGAAATATGATTCTGCGTAATCACAACTCATCAACTCCAAATCGATACGCGAGACAACAACATCACCAAAGATACATCAAAACAAAAGAAAATGACATCAAGATTGCCAACAAATAATGGTGGCTCATTTCTTTTCGTTCAAAAGTACAAAAGTATACGTTATCGTAAGCTTCATTCTTCTCATGAAATTGACATAATGACGTTGTGATACTAAAACATAGCTTTCTCGTTTATATTAATAAAAATAATTTGAGGTTCTTATATACCGATTTATCACAATCTAGTTCGTAGGTCGTCTCAAAGCGGTTCACACATTATTATCAGCTTGTCTGACAGATATCAGTATCTGGATGAACGCCAACATGCTTAAGCTTAATCAGGAAAAGACGGAACTAATCGTCTTTTCCCCAAAGTGTCAGCAAACAATGGCTCCCCAGCTCAAGGTCGGTGCAAGAACTATTGAGACTATTCCAGCTGTTAAAAACCTAGGGTATACTTTGATAGTTCACTGAACATGGAGAAACAAGTGAATGCTATTGCCAAATTCTGTTACTACCAGATCAGGAACAT